TATATATATATATATATATCATATACGATATCTGAGAAATGCGATGAGAAAGGTTTGAGGTTCACTAAATGTGAAGTAGCATTTTAAATTGGATTAAGGGAAATAAAAAAACAGCCTCTGCTACTTACAGCAGTGAATAAAGGGCAAGGGAGATTAGTGTGTAAGAGGTAATATTAATGATAAGACAAACATCCTCTGTTAAGTAGTCTGTTAAACATTCATTCAAGCGTCTGTGATTTTCCACCTTGAACAGTCCAGTCATCCCTACCGGCAATGCCCCGAAAGCTCCTGGTGTCAGGATGATGACACGGTGTCCAGACGGCGCACCCTCAGTCTTCACCATCTATTAACGTGAATGGCAAGGTCCCCTTGTCTGGATCCTTTCCTCTCTTTTCTCTGATCCCCATTTGAAACCAACTTTTCATTCCCGCTGATCAAAGTGCACAACCATACAACATAACGCTCCCTTGAGGATTCCAGAGTTGCATGTCTCTAAAAGAAGCATCCACCCAGGAAAATAAATTATTCTCTCAAGCAAATAGCTGCAGATGAATATTTTATTACTGATTTAAACTTTCCTTCTATGGTTAAGGGGAGGGAAATGACTGGGATATAGTTTTGTGAAATGGGGGTTGGATTATAAGTTAATATATTCATATAACAACAATCCTTTAATCACCATATTTTTCAGATATTATTTATAGTTTTTGGCTTTTCAGCTCTGCTGACAGGAATGCTAATCTCATCTGCTCGCGGAGCACAAGAAATCAATGCTTGTTTATACTTGAATTTTATTTCTCTTACCCTGTGAAAACAACTGTGCTAGCTTCTGTTCAGCACAGTGAAAGCTTCTTCTTAGCTTTTCTTGTCAGTGAAGCAATTTTAGGGACATACCTGCATGTTATTTATCTTTGAAAACGTTGACCTGCATCAGCCACTTCTGATTTGTTCCAACTGGCAAATCAGATGAAAGCTGGGACTCTTTGTCATTCAAGTAAATTTAACTTCTTAATATGCCTGGTGTGTCTCGCACTCTTATTTCAGTATTGAGACATTGCATTGTTTGACTTTCTTCCGTCTATGTTGCATTGCCTTGTGCGATGCATTCACATCACAAAGCATCTGCAGTATTAAAGAATTCCATTGCAATACAGTCACCCTAAATTGCTTTTGCTAAAAAGCTAGGGCTTAATGCACCCGACCGACATGAGGCATTTGAGTAAACGCATTGACAGACAGTCCTCACAGAACTGAATGTAACTGATAAGAGAATCCATTAACTCGATTTCCCTTCTGTTTCATTCTCTTTTTCTCCCTCACTCCTGTCCCATTCTCTCTTTTTTCCTGTGGCCAATGAATTATTATTTGATTTCAGTACATGGACTCAGTATTCCAAGAGTCCAACAATTTGTTAATTTAATGCTGCTGCCATATTCTGAAATTGAGTATGAGTGAAATGCAATCGCGGGGTCTTTATATGTAATCCTGACCAGGAGCATGGGGATGAGGATTTTTTCATTAATGAGTTATCAAAGCACAGCAGATGGGCTGGGATGAACTAACAGTGTTCCTTGTTAATTGAGTGACTTTCTAATAAGACCAAAAGACCCAAACTGGGTTCACAAAGTAGCGAGATAGAGCATCTAAGAGATTAGAGTGATGGTTTCTGTGTCTGCGTGTGGATCCGTCCACTTCTCATGATATTTCTAAAGCTCCCTAATTCCTTCACAATATGAGGAATGATCATAATCAAGCTGATGATGCTAAAGATGACGCTCTGGCAAACACTGAGCTCTACCTTCTTGCTGAATCACTGTCACATTTCCTCAGGATGCTTCAGTCATTAAATTCTTTGCACCAGATTTTAGAGGTCACCTATCAATATGGGAATACATGTATACCGCAGAGCAGAAGTCTCACAATCTGTAACCTATAACTTCTTGACGACATTTTCCCCGACATCCTGGCACACAGCGTAACAGATGGCTAATAAACACATTTGCTGCTTAAAGCCCAGGCGTTGTAGTGTTTGTAAAATTCAAATGAGATATAGCAGTGACACTCTCTGTGTGAGATCACTGGTGCGACTGAGCAGTTGGAAATACTTATTGCTCCCTCGTTGGACTGGCAAACCTGTATGCATGGGAGGGGAGCCATGCTGTGGGAGATGTATTGTGTTGTAAAGGGTCAAGGAAGAACAGCAAACACATTTCATGAATTATTGAATGAACGGACCTGGAAAGGGAAAAGTCTGCGTGGCCTTGTTGGTGGGTTGGACGTGGATGTTCCACAGCATTCAGTTTCAAGCCAAGTATAGAGAGGAGAGTACCTACGATCTCCATCGCAAACACACTGAGTGTGACACGCGCTGTCTTCATCTCATGGCCTCTGTGAGCCTCGGTGCTGCAGTGTGCTGCTTCAGTGCTGATGTTGTCAATCATACTCCAAGATGCTATTTTACAAAACCACATTTTGTTTTGTCTCTCAGTTTAAACATCCATACAGAGCACAGCCAGGACCCATAAATGTAGGGTTTTACCATTTTATTTAAGGGTTATGGGGTTAAATTGTCGCTATAAAAGATAACAGTCGTGTCGGTGGATATTCAAAGGCCAGTTTTTAAGCTAAATGTATTTTCTCGAAGAGCATTTTCATTTCGTTTGTGAACAAAAACCTCCCTTGCTCAATAGAAATATCATTTGCCCACCAGCAAGATGAGTAAAAATATACTGGCTGCTGGTTTTGCTTTATTTGTTGCAACATTTGAATTTGAAAAGTCTCTGCTCAATTAAATGAGAAATTTGCTACACCTTCGCTAAAATTAGATTTGCACTTAGATTTGTGTCACAGGTGGTCAGGTAATATGATCCATCAATTTAATTTGTGCGGGCAGCAAGTCTCGGCACTTTGCAGGTATTTTGAAGACCCGCTACAATCACAGGCCACTTCATTAGTTACACCTTGCGAGTACCTGAACTGCCATCGTTTTTTGTGGTATAGATTACAAAAGGTGCTGTAAACAAACGGCATTGTGTGACTCACCTGTTCCCACACATCTCAAATATGTCTGTTGGTTTGAGATCTGGAACCAAGTGTGGACTTCCACTGTTGTAGCCCATCTGCTCCAAGGTTCACTATGCTCTTCATTCAGAGATGATCGTCTGCATGCCTTTGTGATGATGTGTGCTTATTTGTGTTACTGTTGCCCTCCTCTCACCTAGAAGCAGTTTGGGCCATTCTCCTCTGACCTCTGGCATCAACAAGACATTTTTACTGAAAAAGCTGCTGCTCACTGGATATTTTCTCTTTTCTGTACTACTCTCTGTACGCCCTAGAGGGGTTTGTGTAAGAAAATCCCAGAAGATCATCAGTTTCTGAAATAGTCAGCCCAGCCTGTCTCGTACCAGGAGCTTTGCCACATTCAAAGTCACTTCTTCAAAATAATCTTTCTTCCAGATTGAGATTCTCACTTTGAAATTAAGCAGATTGTCTTGACCATGTCTACATGTCTAAAGGCACTGAGATGCTGCCATGCGATTGGTTAATTAGATATTTGGGTTAACAAGCGGTTGAGCAGGTGTACCTTATGGAGTGGCCTTTGTGTATATAAATGATTGGAGTGTGAGCCCCAGGACTAATTTCTGTGGTATCAGGGACATTAAAAAATCAAGGTTAAAGAAAAACAAACAACAAAAAATAAAGCATTAATAGTCTGGGGACTTGCAACAAGGTAACATTCAGGTTATGGATATAGTAAGCTAGAAAAGTCATTACTCGTTTTGTATACAATGTTGCAGTAGTGTAAGACGCATCAGTAACACCGAGGTTAATGAATCTTTCTTGAGCTCTCAGTGGGATTTTTTATTTTATTTAAATTTTTAAAAAATTTAATAAATAATTAACCTCTTGTGCAACTAATTATAGTAATGAGCATCACCTAGAGACAAACGCCATGGCCAAAAATAAACATTTTCATGGTTGCTTCAAATTATATTGTTACTTGCATGTGCAAGTAATGCATGTGCTTTCATAACTTAGTCTTCAGAATTTATAAACAATATCTAAGCATTTCAAGAGGAACCCGAATTCTTGCCTTATGTGTTATATGGGTTTAAATCAGGTTGTCTGTATGAGGTGTGTTTTTGTTAAGCAGATCTCATGATGATGATGGTTTCCTCTTCTGCCAAGAAAATGAGACTTGATACAATCAGTCGCTGCCGGTGGCAAAATTGGGGTGGCCAAAGAGAATGGTAGAGTGAACACTATGAGTGAACACATGTTTGGTGCTATGGTAATTAGTCGTGCTGTTTGATTAGAGCAACATGATTATGTTGCATAATCATGTTTACAGTCAGAATTAGTTGTTTGTTTAAAATAAGTTTTGCCGACAGGATTTTTTATGCAATCTGCATAATTTACAGCAACTAATGCTGTAAGTGTCGAGATTACAGTGACAGTATCCCCAAAATGAATCTTGTCAGCAGACGATGACAAACATTTTGAACATTTTGAACTCAAATAATCTCTTATTTGAGCAAAAAAGTGTTTTATTACTAAATATATACCCATGCACTGCCTTACGAACTCCAAATAGCAACATAGTGTTCGGACTAGTTTGTCTTCTGTATCTGTTTCATTTGCACAGCTTGAATGTGATGATGATAAAATATTGGTTGAAATGTGAGTGTTTACAAATCTTTTTCAGCCACAGAAAGAAAATTTAACTTGGTCCATTTTCAAAATGCAGCTAATACTAACACCCTCCCCTATTTTTTTAAATGACTTTCTTTTATTCTATTACGACTTCATTATTACAACACCCGTTTACCCCTCTTTGTCCCTCTATCTCTCTCTTGCTCTCTCTCATTGCCCTTGTCATCTAACAAGGAGACAGTGACAATGAGGGCTCGTGTCCTTGGACATGGAGGAAAGCTCTGCTATTGACTGGCATGATGAGCTGCTTTTTCCTTGTTCCTTTCCCACAATCCCCATAATCCCTCTGTCTTAGCTGCCAACACGACACACACATCAGGACCACAGGGGCATTAGATGGGGGGCCTACTGTCGCCACTTATTATATCAGTGCACAGACGGGGCCATGCCTTCACTTACTGATGCACACACACATGCATGCACGAGGGGAACACCACAATAAGCAGGAG